CTGTTGTTCAGCATCTTAGCTGTAGAGGGCAGTGTCACTGGCCCTCATATGTGGGATCCGAACCGGGGCCCTCTGGCATCCCAAGCGAGTTCTTAACCATTGCGCCACTCGGCCGGCCCTGGAGGGGACTACTTTTTAAAAACCCTCTCAAACCAAACACCATAAAGCAAAAATTTGATGAATTTGATTACATTAAAATTAACAATTTCTTTTCAAAGAAGGCTATCATGGGCAAAGTTAAAAAAGGGAGAGAATATTCACAATGTCTGAAACTGACAGGGGAGTAATAGCTAGACTATATAATAAACTCCAGCAAATCAACAGGAAAGAGGAACCCCAATAGAAAAATATGGGCCAACTATACAAGGAAGTGATTTACAGAAGAGGCGTTTAAGACATGTAACAAGAGATACTCAAAAATTCATTAGTAATTAGAGAAATGCAAACTAAAACAAAATATTACTTTAAAGCTGTTAGACTGGCAAAAACTAGAAAGCTGAAAAATGTTAAGTGTTAATGAGGATGTAGGGATACAGGGATCCTCATACACTGATGGTAAAACTGTGGACTCGTGTAGCCATCCCAGAGAACCATCTAGCAGTATTAGTGTTTTTAGTCAAGCTAAGTACATGCACACTTTACAATGCAATCATTGTGCCCCTAGGTGTATGTTCCAAAGGAAATTCTCATAAAGGCCATTAAGGGGACATGCACAAAGCTGTTCATCACAGTATTATTTGTATCAGGGGTTGGAGTCAATCCTGCTGTCTGTCATTATGGGAATATTCAGGGAAAATATAGGAAAGGCACACTGTGGTTAGACAAGCAGTTAGAAGCAATGGATTAGATGTATGCACAGCAATGTGGATAGACTTTAAAAACACATGGCTGAATGAAAAAGGTAAGAAACAAAATGACATACCATTTATATAAAATAAAAATGCACACACACAAAGCATCCTTCATCATAGGACAACCTGATGTCATATGCCTCCTGAGGTGACACAGTGTGAAGTAAACAATATCCCCTATGTACGTTAATGCTGAAAATATTTAGCCTGAATCTAATCATGTGGAAAGAGCAGATGAATACAGAATATGGGACATTCTACAAGAAAGTTGTCAAGAATATCAGTGTAATATAAAATACACAAAAATACAGCGGTACTAGTCTAGATTAAAAGAGGTTAAAGGAATACAATAATGAGTCATAATGCACAAACCTTGATTAGATCCTGAGATAAAAAAATAAGAGGTCTGAAAACATTTTGAGCACACTTGGAAAATTTGAATACAGGGCATCTTTGATGGTATTATTGAATTATTGTTAAATTTTCTTAGGTGTGATAATGGTATTGTGGTTATGTAGGAGAATGTCCTTATTCTAATAGGTGTGTGCTGAAGTATTTAGGAGTGAAGTGTTAGATTGCCTGCAACTTTCGATTGGTTCATCAAAAAAGGAAATGTATACATACACATATAAAGAGAAGTACAGCAAATTTGGCAAAATATTAAAAGTAAATAGGCTTTCATTGTATTATCCTTTCAACTGCTCTGAATTTTGAAAAACTGAAAAATAAAAATTTGGGGGAAATATATGCACATAAAACAACACATATTTTGCAAGAATACATATAAACAAAGATACACACAAAATACTTTAGAATGGTTGTGTACATGAGGGAAATAAGAGTGGGAAGTGGAGATGAAAGTGAATTTTAAAAATAGCAAAAACCTCTCTAAAGTAATACATGTTCATGGAATATGTGGAAAACACAGAAAAGCACAATTAAGAAATCTAAATTCACGATAATCTCATTTTCTCTGTCAGTAGTTCTCAAAATATGATAACTGTAGCAGCAGCAGCAACTTCCATCATCATCACCATCATCACCATAATTATCATCATCACCACCACCACTTGGGAATTTGTTAGAAATGCAAATTCCTGGGCCCTACACCAGACTTACTGAAACAATTCTGGACCCCTGGGCCCAGCAACTGGTGTTTTAACAAGCCCTCCCAGTGATTCTGACGCTGGCCAAAGTTTGGGAGCCACTGATCTGGATTTAACCACCATTAATTTTGTTGTAGATCCTTGTAGTCTTTCTAAAAAAATATGAAATATTTTAGGTGTGCAAATAAGTATAGAGAATAATATAACATACACCCATGTACTTACTACCCAGATAAACTATTAAAAAAACAGTTTAAGTCCCCTGTCTATCTTTCTCCCTCATTCTGTTCCTCCGTTTTCTTCCCCGGAGGCAATCACCATTCTGCATTTAGTATTTAATTCTCGTTTAAAAATTTTTTAAAACACATTTTTATAATCAATAATCAAAATAGTTCATTGTTTTCTAGATTAAAAAAATCTATATAAATAAGTGGTCTCATGCTTCATGTATCTTTCTACAATTTGTATTTTATCTCAGCATTGTATTTTTGAAATTTATCTGGGTTGATACATGCAACTCTGGTTCATTTTTCACTGCTGTATAGTATTCAGTTGTAAGGCTGTACTACTATGTATTTATTCATTCTGTTGGTGAACTTGTAGATTTTTCAGATTTTCTCTCTATTACAAACAATTCTGCGATGAATAGTCTTGCACATGCCTCCTTGAGCATATGTATAAGAATTTCTCTAGGACTTAAAGTCTAGGAGATGGATATATACTGGGGGTGCAAAAATTGTATACAAATGGATACTTTGGTTAACGTTGCTCAAGCAGTAGTTCGCTATAATCAGAAGTGTCTGAACTCTGATGGTAACCACTTTGAGCACCTCTTGTAATTGCAGAAGTCTAACGTGACTTGTATTCATCTTTTGTTATCAGTATAGATTATTAGAATTTTAATACAGTTTTCCTTTCTTAAAATGTGTATACAATTTTTGGCACCCTCTGTATATATAGTTGTAACAGAATTGCTGGGTCCCAGGGCCATCTTCAACTATTCTAGATACTTCCTAATTGTTTTCCAAAGTAGTAAAACCAATTTTCACTTCTATCAAAGATTTCATTACAAGTTTTTCCTTATAGTTTGTGCATTTGGGACTTTGTTTAAAAAGTCCATCCCTCTTATTGGAAAATAAGTAGGGATCCAGTTGTATTTTTCTCCTTATGGAGAGCCAAATTTCCCAATGTTAACTATTAAAATGTCCATTTCCCACTTATCTGTGGTGCAGGCCTACACTTTCACCCATTTAACAAACATTTGCTGAAGCCTGCCTTATACCAGTCTTGTTGAGGGATCAAAGATTTTACATATATATATATATATATATATATATATATGGCACCTAGTTTTAGGGAGTTCACTCTCCTGTGGAGATACAGCTATGTAGATATTACAGTATTAAGTGATGCGGGCAACTTAGTGCTCTGGGTTTCTATGTCAGCTGGGAAAGTTCTTAGACGTGACAAGGGTTAGGTCTTAAGAAAACAGAGACGAATTACCTAATGCAGAGGTAACGATGAAGGTGGCCAGGGCTGGCTTGGAATTCACAGGAATTTTGTGTGTCTCTAGGGCAGCGGTTCTCAACCTGTGGGTCACGACCCCTTTGGGGGTCGAACGA